GCCTGTGGTCCCAGCTACCTGGGAGGCTGAGGCAGAAGAGTCGCTTGAGCCCAGGAGTTGGAGGTTGCTGTGAACTATGATGCCATAGCACTCTACCCAGAGTGACAAAGTGAGACTATCTCAAAAAGGAGGGGGGGAGGCTCGGCGCCTGTAGCTCAAGTGGCTAAGGTGCCAGCCACATACACTTAAGGTGGCAGGTTTGAATCCAGCCCAGGCCCGCCAAAACAACAATGATGGCTGCAACTAAAAAATAGCCAGGCATTGTGGCGGGCGCCTATAGTCCCAGCTACCTGGGAGGCTGAGGCAGGAGACTCAATTGAGCCCAGGAGTTGGAGGTTGCTGTAAGCTGTGATGCCATGGCACTCTACCCAGGGGGATAGTTTGAGGCTCTGTCTCAAAAAAAAACCTCCCCTCGCTTCACTTTGGGGAGCAACACTGCAGGGTAGAGTGACCCAGGCACATGCTTATAAATAAATAAAGCACCTTTAAAAAAAAAAAAAAACCAAAAATCCCAAAGCTCTTTTTTTCTAGGGGTGTGGGGGCAGCAGGCACTCATCAGTAGACTGAAGTGGGCTGAGATAGAACAGAGATTTCTCCAGACAACTGGGGCAATGCTGAAATGGACAGGGAAGAAGGCAAGTGTGACACAGAGACGAGCGCCTGCGTGGGACAATTACCATCTTGATGTAGAATTATGTCTTTGTTTATGATCGGCAAAAGGGAGGTGAAGGCTGGTGACATCTGGGATACTGCCTGGGGACACTGTCCCTACGGGAGACACAGCCACAGCTGAGGGGAAAAACAGCAGATGCGGCCTCCTTGTCTTATGTTGGAGACACACCCAAGTGTAACTCCTACAAAACCAGTCACATGGAACAAAAGGCACAAAGTATATTCACTACAACCATCTCCAAACAACTCTAGGAAGGGCTATCATTGTGTCTTCAGGACACAATGAAGGCTTGAGTAATCAGTGATGGGTGTTTAATTTTAGACTCCCACCCTCAGCCACTGGGAACTCTGTCTTTTCTACACCAAACGTGACCTAGGAAAAGAACACTGATTTGCAAACTTGCTAATTCCTCACATGATCCAGAAATTTACTTTTTTGTCTAAAGTTAATATGCTGAAATTTTCTATTTTCCTTGATCATTAAATATTACTTTAAAATAAAAACCTTAAGAAAACAAACTTTAGTTGTCTGGAATTCAGAAGGCTGGTCCTCAACCAAAACAGAAGAGCATCAAACACTTCCAAATTTGTTTTAAAAAAGAAAAAAGAAATACCTGAAGGCCAAGTCTGCATGTTTTCCCCTTCGCCTCTCATTGATGAAACCACTGGCCTGTTTTTATCTACAATTTTTAATAATCTGTTTCCAGATATAAAACAGATTAAAATCTGTCCCACAAGAGACTAAAGAGGGTAAAACTGAAGGTGAGAAAATAGTTTCAGGAAAAACTTTGCCGCTTCTATGTGAAAGAATTTTGTGTGCAAGTACAAAATGACATCACCACGCAGTACACAAGGATACGTGGTCAGAACAGTGACACTGAATCAGCAAGAAGAGTTAGTACTCTGGAGGCCGAGGGAGGAGGATCACTCAAGCTTGGGAGTTGGAGACCAGCCCCAGCAAGAGGCAAGACCCTGTTTCTACTCAAAATAGAAAACTTAGCTGGGTGTCGCGGCAGAAGGATTGCTTGAGCCCAGGAGTTTGAGGTTGCTGTGAGCTAAGCTGGTCCCACAGCACTCCAGCCTGGGCAATAAAGTAAAGCTCTGACGAAAAAGAAGGAAAGAAAGGAAAGAAAGGGCAACAGAGTAAAGCTCTGAAGGAAAAGAAGGAAAGGAAGGAAGGAAGGAGGGAGAGGGAGGGAGGAAAGGAAAGAAAGGGAGGAAGGAAGGAAATAGAAAGAAACAAAGAAAAGAAAGAAATGAGTAAAGTATATCAAATGTAGACATTTTCATCAAAATGGTTATGTTTATAAGAGCAATGTCAGTTAAGCGATACATCAGTGCATTTCCTAACATTCTCATGTTTTCAAATGACTCAATTTCAAGCAAGGTTTTTTTTTTTTTACATACATATAAGTTATCTTTAAATTCTCAGTTCCTTTCTAATAGTCACAGAAGTGGCTATAACAGCCCAGTCTCAGGGTCAGGTCTCCAGGGTTAGAATCCTGGCTCTGCCATTAGGCAGCCCTGTGTCCTCACGAATGTTTCTTGACTTCTCTGTGCCTCGATTTCCTCAACAGTAAAATGAGATAACAGAGGTGCACATCTCGTAAGGTTGTGAGGATTAAACAAGTTCATGTTTGTGAAGTGTTCTGAATAGTGCCCAGCACACAGTAACTGCCACATAAGTTCAGGCAGTGAGCCAAGTATTTTACCTGCTTTATTTCCCTTAATTTTCATCACAACCTTAAGAGAAAGAGCAACATTATCCCTATTTTACAAGTGAAGAAACCGGCTTAGAGCTTGAAGCACCTGTGCACAGCTAGTGAGCAGAGGGAGATCCTGGCATCCAGCCCGTGTCTGTCTGTCTGTCTACACACTCCAGAGGCCTCTGTAAAGGGGTCCTATGTACTTCAGCACGTGGAGGTCTCCACGCGTGGTTCTAAGGTATGGCAGCCTATAGAACCAAGCTCTTGCCTCTGGGATTTTGCTCCAGGGTTTAAGAAGGAATATTTGCTGAGCTGAAAGGTAGAGAGGCAAAAGGGAAAAAAGAATATGCTTAAAAGAATTTGTGATAACAAAAGAAAATCAAAAAATCAGAAATCAATAGGCTTCTTGGAACATATTTTAGGATAAGAAATATCCGTAACTTTATTTCTTTTAGTACTCAGAATTCAGTGTTACACTATAAACTACCATGAGCCATCCTGCTCTATATCTACTATCTAAGGAAAAAATATTTTGTGTTTCAAAGAGCAAAAGATACTAATGTTAATCACGTTACAATTGGTTCACTCTTTTCTGTATGTTCCATCTGCCTAATCGGAACATGATATGACAAGAATAATTTCATTGCACTGTTATCACCAATTGCTGTACTCACTGTACTGATGTATCAAATATTATACAATCTGTAATTCACTAATTTAAAATAAAGTTCTGTAATAACTGTTACTTGCTCACTTATTTTTTGTGCTTACTTGCAAGAAGGAGCCTTTCTTTATGACGTGGCAGGGAAGCAAATTTGCTTCTAACCTGACAGTGTGGTGGCTGACAGCCACAGCAGGCTGGCAATGCTTCAGTCAGTACTGATGGGGGACTGAAAAGGTAATTCCAGACAAGCATTTGGAACTGGGGAACCTGGGACCAATCCTCTATGCCCTGCCTAAGGGAGTCCTGTAAATTGTATAAAACCATAAGTAGGATCTATAGAGAACTTGAATCAATCCACATGAAAAAAGCCAGCAATCCCATATATCAATGGGCAAGAGACATGAATAGAACCTTCTCTAAAGACAGATGAATGGCTAACAAACATATGAAAAAATGCTCATCATCCCTAATTATTAGAGAAATGCAAATCAAAACCACCCTGAGATACCATCTAACCCCAGCAAGAATGGCCCACATCACAAAAATCTGCAGATGCTGGCATGGGTGTGGAGGGAAGGGAACACTTTTACACTGCTGGTGGGACTGCAAACTAATACAACCTTTTTGGAAGGAAGTATGGAGAACCCTCAAAGAATACAAGCTAGATCTCCCATTTGATCCTGCAATCCCATTACTGGGCATCTACCCAGAAGGAAAAAAATCCTTTTATCATAAGGACACTTGCACTAGACTGTTGACTGCAGCTCAATTTACAATCACCAAAATGTGGAAACAGCCAAAATGCCCACCAACCCAGGAATAGATTAATAAGCTGTGGTATATGTACACCATGGAATACTATTCAGCCATTAAAAAAACGGAGACTGTAAAGCCTTTGTATTAACCTGGATTAAAGTGGAACACATTACTCTTAGTAAAGCATCATAAGAATGTAGAAGCATGAATCCTATGTACTCAATTTTGATATGAGGACAATTAAAGACAATTAATGACAATGTGGGGTTGGAGGAAGGGGAGAGCAGAGAGAGAAAGAAGGAGAGAGCGGTGAGGAAAGGAAGAGCAGAGAGAGGGAAGGGGGGAGTGGGTGGGGTCTTGGTGTGTGACACACATTTTGGGGACAAGACACAATTATAAGAGGGACTTTACCTAACAAATGTAATCAGTGTAACCTGGTTTCTTGTACCCTCAATGAATCCCCAACAATAAAAAAAAAAATTGTATAAAACTCTAACTCATGGTCAGAACCTTATAGATCCCAGGCTATTTACCTCTCTGTACTATCTACTCAGCTATTAAAAAACAAACAGACAAATCCTTTGGGGATTATTTTTGAGACAGAGTCTTACTTTGTCACCTTTGGTAGAGTACTATGGCATCATAGCTCACAGCAACCTCAACTTCTGGGCTTAAGCAATTGATTCTCTTGCCTCAGTCTCTCAATAGTTGGGACTACAGGCACCCACCACAGTGCCTGACTATTTTTAGAGACAAGGTCTCACTCTTGCTCAAGCTGGTCTCAAACTTGTGAGCTTAAGCAATCCACCCACCTTGGCCTCCCACGTGCTGGGATTATAGGCCACTACGCCCAGTCCTGGGACCACATTTTAGTATAAGAAATACTCAATAACTTAATTTCTTTTAATACTCAGAATATCAGGTCAGGCACAGTGGCTCACATCTGTAATCCTAGCACTCTGGAAGGCTGAGGCTGGTGTATTGCTTGAGCTCAGGAGTTTGAGAACAGCTTGAGCAACAGGGAGACCCCATCTCTACTAAAAACAGAAAAACTAGCCAGGTGTTGTGGTAGGTCCCTATAGTCCCAGCTATTCAGGAGGCTGAGTAAGAAGGATCGCTTGAGCCCAAGAGTTTGAGTTGCTGTGAGCTATGATGACACAGCACTCTAGCCTGGGGCAAGAGAGTGAGACTCTGTCTCAAAAAAAAAAAAAAATTTCATCTTACACTATAAGCTATACCATGAGTCATTCTGCTATATGTTTTCTGTCTAAGGAAAAAAGTTTCGTGCTGAGAAGAGCAAAAGAGAATATTAATCAAGTGTAATGACTGTTTCACTTTTTCTACATCTGTCAACCACCAGGCTGTCAGGCTACTAAAAATAATCATCCTCTGACACAATTTGCCTTCCCGCCTCTCCCACAGATGTGGTGTGCTGCCCACACAGGAAGCACCTTGCCTAATGGGACTATTTTCTTCGTTCTCCACATACACAATCACATTCCACAGTGATAAGGCTTTGAAAGTAGGAATCCTGCTCCGACTTCCTAAGGACTTTTTCCGTAAGAATTACCAAGGATAAGGACAGCACATTGAAATCCAAGTTGTAAACGCTTGGGAGAACCACCAGCAGTGCTGGTCCCAACAATCTCCTCTGTCATTACCCCAGGGACACATCTTGTCTCTGAATTTTCTGCTCTCCCAGAATAAGACAGAAAAATGATGGGCCAAGAGCCCAGGAAATAGAACGGAATACTAGCTGTCTGGGTCCAAGTAACTCATAGCTGATAAACAAAACACAGTTTGAATACATCTTTTTAAAGAGAATACTATACTTTCTATAATAATGAGCCTGTGTTATCTACGTCCAGTAATGAGTTACTCTAAGCCCACCAACAGAAGTTTTAAACTTAAATTTTTTAAATTTTAAAGATTTTAAAATTTTAAAAACCCAAATGACTGTTTAAGAAAATTAACCAGTAGACATGTAATCAGAATTTCCTCTCTTTGGCTTCTCTTACTTACAAGGTATTAAAAACCCTTGAGATCAGTACGTTTCTGCATTATGGACGGCACTTTATTATTTATAAGGTAGTCTATTTCTTTCCCACTAGGTCATAAGCTTCTTATGGCCAAGAATCATTGTATGTAAACAGAGTAGCCAAAAAGTCCAGAAGTGAACAATGTTGCTACTGTTTCTATCAGATCAATTACTGATACTTCTCCTGGGGTTTGCTAAAAATGAAGGTTTAATCATTTGAGAATCAGACTCAAAATTAATGGGAGTCCACAACAAGTGAACACATGTGTAAGAGTTTGGCGGGAAGGCAGAGTTCACACATCCTGTCCACTGCAGTGTTGCCGACACGCTGAGCTACACGCTGCTATGAAGGACAGCACGCCGGACAGATTGCAGGTTGTCACTCAACAGAGTAATGTCACCAAGCACTATCTATAAGCCATTTACTATTCATATGTGCCTAAGTTTCCATACTGTGTTGTAGAGGACGCCAAGAGCCAGACAACCTCTGAACAAGATGATTTGCAGCTGAGGGGTGGACTTCGGGCAATTCGTCTGCAGGCCCTCCTTGCGGAGAAAGCCCGAGCCCACGGCAATCCTTAGGCACGCAGTCATTGTCTAATACTCCCCTCACCTGTGTCTTGTACTGTCTCAATAAAAGGCTAGTGCGGAGGGTGCTCGGAGCTGCCCTGCAAACCAAGTTAGCCCGCCTCCGACAAGCTTGTACTTCTAATCCTCATCACGCCTGGTTCCTTCCTGCAGTGATCGAGACCAGGTCCACAGGGGCCCTAGGGGTTGCAACACTGTGTGGCAAACCTATAGATGCTCAACAAATATTTCTTAAATTAGACTATGAATCATTAACATCCCTAATACTCTTAAATCTTCTCTGGATTCAACTCTTGCTGCTGATATCATAGGCTATCGACACCACTTAGTTCTCTAAATGCAGGCAAAGATGAGAATGGAAACCCTGTCTGGAATGCACATATCCCGGGGCCCAGAAAGTCTGTTTTCCAAAATCTGTCTGAAATAAATAATTGAACAATCACAGAATAACAAGGTCAAGATCATTAACTATAACACTATTCAAAGCATTTTTTTAAAAGCGAGGTCGCTTAGAAAACTGAGGTGTCTTTCTAAAGAAGATTTACAAATAATTTCATCCAATAATTTTACTCCATGGAGGAAGAAACTGACACTCAGAGATTTTATGGTACTTATCTAAACAATGGCTCCCAACTAGTCAGTGGCCCCACCAACTTAGAAATCAGGTCGCCTGAGACGAGCACTATGTTGACATGGTCTCAGTGGAACAGACTCATGGGAAGGAAAAGCAGAGAAACAGAAATGTATTTTCCCAGAAAAATACCCAGCACCAGCTTTATCCCTGAAGGTGGTTTCCTTTCTGTACAGGAACCTTGGGGACCACAGCGCGCTGCAGGGCTCCATGCAATCCAGTCCCTGGATGTGCCAGAAGATGGACTCCAGTGTTCTCTCTGCGTTTCTCCAGGCTGAGAACCCGCTGATTGTCTGCATTGCTTGTCACTGGTAGAGCCCTCAAGTGAACAGGGTATGTCGTGCACAGCGATCACTCGTAAGCAGAAGAGTGAGACGCTGGGACTGCCTGCACCCAGGCTGGCCTTTGTAGCCCATGGGGGGCAAGGCTGATAAGCCAGCTTGCCGGGATCTCTGCTGATGGCACTGCCCTGCTCGCACTCTCACCTCTTCCCTGCTGACGTCCATGTTCCACACTGCAATCCCACCATCCGAGGAGCAGGAGACGAGCTGCCGTGTGAGCTGAAGGTAACACAGAGACTGCACCCTGTCACTGCAAGGAGACACACAACAGTCACTTGTCTCAATGTGGAAAAACAAACCGTGGAGATCCCCAGTAGCAAAGGCACACGCACACAGAGGAGGGGGGGATCTGCCTCCTTCCTGCAGGCCCGTCAGACTGCTCCTCTGGATGCCCAAAGGCACAATCTCTTGGCCTATTTATTGACTGAGTGACTGAGACAGGGTCTCACTACCACCATCAGGGCTCAAGTGATCCTCCTGCCTCAGCTATCAGAGTAGCTGGGATTCAAGGCATGCCACAACATCCAGTTAATTTTTCTATTTTTTGTAGAGACGAGGGTCTCCCTACATTGCTCAGGCTGATCTGAATGAAACTCTTGGCCCCAAGCGGTCCTCTTCCCTTAGCCTCCTAAAGTTCTAGGATTATAGGTGTGAATCACTGTCCCCAGACTTGGCCTGTCTATTTTTACACAGAACTTTTCCTTAGTTAATTTTCAACCTGATTGTGATTACAGTAAATAGCTACAGCCTAACCAACAAAGTAGAGGGCAAGGGGGGGCAAAGGAGGTATTCCTCTTCCTTTCTAGACTGGAAGGCAAGAGCCAAAATATAACAAGATCATCACTTGGGCGAATGTGACTGTCAAACCAGACATTACTCCTTAATGAAAGACCTCTTAGAATTAAAAAAGAAAAAAAGTTAAGCAACCATCTCAAGAAGAGCTTAGTAATGCATTACAGGTGCGGTTAAAGTCCTCACCTGCGGTCTCTAACCCACACCTGCTGTAAGCAGACATTTCAGTGGGGGACTCCTTGGGAGAGAAAGTGGTGAGGGCTCTTTGGAGAACGAATTAACCCTGTACTTTTTTTTTTTTTTGCTAATAAACACTAGACACTTGGGACTGGCAGAAAGCAGATAAAAGCAGGCCGAGAGCCCATAAAATTGCTATCTGGAAAGCTGGGGTCTGGAGAGACTAGGTACTAGAATATTACTGTGGTCCCGGGGCTCCCAGCAAACCAGAACCTCTCCCTGCCCCCACAGGAAGTCACGCACTGGTGGCCCTGCAGTAAGAGCGTCCGGCCTTTCCTTCCTCCGATGTCCCACATGATGATGCTGTTGTCAGACGCTCCTGAGAAGAGTAACCGCTGAATCGGGTCCCACCAGAGGCAGGCTACACTACCTGAGGGTGAGAGAGAGAGAGAGAGAGGGGTGGGCAGAGGGGACGGAGGGCGAGGTAAAATGTAACTGCATCAGGACATACACATTTGACAGCTGAACACCTAACTAGGCCCAGCTGAGCATTCAAGTAAAAATGCATCTTTATTGTGTACAATGGATCATTCAACCACGGTACCATGAGTCACAGAGGAGACTCATGGTACCATCACCCAAAGTTACAGCTTCAGGATTTCCAGTGGTTCATTAAACTACTTTGAATACAAACATTCCCTTGTTCTGTATTTTAAAAATTATAAAGTAGCTATATGGGAAATGTCAGTTCAGAAAAAGTCTTTGAGGAAAAAGACTTTATATTTTAGTCTTTAGAGAAAAAGACTTTATATTTTTATATTAGTCTTTAAAAAGACTAATATTTAATGAGAAAAGCCAGTGACGTTTACTGTGGTCATCTCATACCAGGTACAAATACAGATTATTCTAGGTCTCTGGGTTCTTACAAGCATTTTACCCAAGATGACTATGTTTAAGAAAATTAAATTTTACTAAGAAGAATATGTTCCAGCTCCATCCAGGTAAACATAAAAGATGTAAGATCTCCCTCTTTTTATGGCTGCATAGTATTCCACAGTGTACATCAATGTACTCAATACTATTATGAGACCAATACACAATCAATGTGTTTTATCAATGATAAAACATAAAGATAGTCCAGAAAGAAAGAGGGGAGAGGAGAGAGAGGGAAGGGGAGCAGGGAGGGCCGGTGAAGGGAAGGTATTTGGCAGGATCTTACCTAATGTGCACAATGCAAGGGTACATTTCAAAACAACTAAGGGTGTATTATAAATGTCTTACCTCAAAAATAAGTAAGTTAAGTGATAGTTATGTTAATTAGTTTGATTTAAGCATTCCACATTGTATATCAAATCATCATACTGTACCCCATAAATGTTATCATACAGTTATAATTTAATAAAAATTAAGCTTAAAAAAAAAAGAAAATTAAATTCCTCAGCAAAAAAGTCTGTATGTGCACTGCACAATTATGCCAAAGAATTTAGGTAAGGAAGGTAAACCTTACATTTCACACTCTATTTTGGCTAACTTATCAAATTTGGTATTCTTGGACACATCTTACTTTCTACAGATTTCTCTCTCAATAGGTCCCTTCATTGTTCATTGACTGCTGTTTGCCTAGAAAAAAAATTATTAATAAGCTTTATAAAACTGAACCAGTACCATAACTAATAATTATAGTTAAGTTTATAAAAAATTAATCAAGACATATCGAAAAGCAAATTACTTTTCAAAAACTACTCAACTTTCGAAAAGTAAAAGTTAAGACGGGGTATTCTGCAAAACTGGCTTGAGGGGGTCAATGCTGCATGAATTCAGACCTGGTGTAACCATATGCTTTAGCTAGAAGGCTCAGGGCAAACAGTCTTTCAATATGAAAATTACAAAGCAGTTACTAGAAACCATTCTTCCCTTAGCAACCCAGAAAATACTTCAGAGCCTGGAGGTCATGAGAGAATTCGTCATGAACAGAGAGTGGTTTCCTCAGGGGCCTCTGCTTTCCTGCCCGCCTCTGTTCTAACTTTGTTCTCTTTTCTTCCCTCTCCCCGACAAGAATGCTGGTCTGATAGAGTCTGTTTCACCTAAACAGGTTACCTAGAAAGCCTAGAATACATTTAACTGGTTACACATAAAACACCATCATAAACAAGTTCATCATTAATCCTTTCCACAAATCCCCAATTTTTCAATCTAAACCAGATGGCCTGAACGTTTATAATTTGTGACTCATATCAGAATTTGACCCTATTATCTGTATAAAAACTGCATTACATTTTACTTAGTTTTCAATGAAACTCCTTTTCTTTTTAATTGTTTGGGATTCACTAAGGGTACAAAGAATTAGGTTATACTGATTGCATTTGTTAGACAAAGTCCCTCTTATAATTGTGTCCTGCCCCCAAGAGGCATGTCATACGCTGTGACCCCCATCCGCCTCCCGCCTCCCTATCCTCATTGCCCTACCCCACCCTTGTATTAGCGCATCTACTGCCTTCATATTAGAATTGAGTGCAGTGGATTCTTAGTGAAACTCCTTTATGACACACATGTAGGTGGTTATCCACTACAAACAATGGAATTTTAAAGGACCGCCACAGAGCTTGGCCAACTCCCTGCACTATTGAAATAATGAAATTCCACCCCAGAATTCTTTTCCCTCAGTCCTACCCAGGATGTTTTCCAGTGGAGTCTGAATTAGCCCACCCATTTCTTCTAATTGCATTGATCCATTGAGTCATGTTTAGTGTCTTAGAAACTGGCATATTTAAAAATAATAATAACTATTGGCTTGGTGCCCACAGCTCAGTGGTTAGGGTGCTGGCTACATACACTGGGGCTGGCAGGTTGGAACCCAGCCCAGGCCTGCTAAACAAAGACAACTATGACAAAAAAAATAGCCGGGCGTTGTGGCGGGTGCCTGTAGTCCCAGCTACTTGGGAGGCTGAGGCAAGAGAATCACTTAAGCCCAAGAGTTTGAGGTTGCTGTCAGCCATGACACTATAGCGCTTTACAAGGATGACATAGGGAGACTCTGTCTCAAAAAAACAAAAAATAAAAATCTATTCTCCCAAAAATCTATTCTTACCACTTGTAAGAAATTTTAAAGTACTTCTGAAAACAATAAATTAATTTCAAAAGGTAAACAATATAGACAATATTATTCACACAAGCAATTTAGGACGGATTTTTGATAATGTGAAAGATTCACTTAGTTTTTACTCTAAATCCCGTATCTGGCCAGTCAAGCTGAAATCTGGACAGACCAGGAGATGCTGATCATCCATGAAACCATAGAACTGAGAACTGAATTTGGACCCCCCAGTGAGGTGAAAACCCACTGGGTGATGACACAGCCTACCTTCGTGTCCTTTAAGGGTTGTAATGACTGAACACGTGTTCTGTTCAAGCTTCAGCAGGGTGATCTGTCCAGAATAATCACCAACAAAAGCGTACTGAGTATCAAAGTCATACCTGAGGAGAGACGGTCAAGGACGTGTAACACAATCTCCCTCAAGGGCCTCCTGGAAAAGCTTTAGTCAAAATTGGTTTTCAAAGTTAGGAAACACACATTTTTAAAGAGAATTAGCACAAGCCTAAAACTATAAAAAGAAAGCAAAAACCCAACTGAAAATCATACAATATGTAAATATTGAAGGAAAAAGGGTTAAAAAGCCATTATTTCTAGGAAGGTTCATATTCATTCATCCCTTCAACGAGAATTCACGGAGTTCCCATTACTATACCAAGCGATCTTCTGGGAACTGGCAATAAAAAAGGCAGGAGCTGACAGAGAAGACCAGTTGTTATGACTGAGGTATAAAAAAGTGTAAAAGAATAAAATTACTAAGTAATGGAAATAGCAAGAAAGCACTGGAACAAAGTAGCTACTTAGGAAATAGCTCGGAAAATAACATAAAACTGACAGCAAATGGAGGAAGTGAACCTTTCTTTTTTTGTTGTTATTTGTTTTTGCAGTTTTTGGCCAGGGCTGGGTTTGAACCCGCCACCTCCGGCTTATGGGGCCGGCGCCCTACTCCTTTGAGCCACAGGCGCCACCCTGAATCTATCTTTCTTTTGGCCTAGATGAGTTAGCTTTAAATGAAAATGATGATTTACTTTAAATTACTAGGGATAGTTTAATAATCCAAAAGGCAGTTATTTGTGGTAGTAGTAAATTTAAACTTTAAAAATACATTAACTATTGGTAACAACTTGAAACCTTCTCAGTTTGCAGCCTCAGAAATTTGTGGAAAACCATCAATTTATACACAATAGGGTAACTACTATTTACAATAGGAGAAATACCACTGTTCCAAAACCCAAGTCAAAGAGGGCAATGCAAGCCAGGCCGTGACTGTGGGATTCTGCCCCATGTGCTGAATCCACTCTGGGAGGCCCAGCATACAACAGAAACATGTGGCTCACAATGTATCTTGAGGATTTTCCCCTTGCCTGATCCCAAAGTACATAGTGCCATTTTGAATACCTCAAATTTGAGTACTTGTTTGTAGTAAACATTTTAAAGAAAGGCTTTCAAGAAAAAAAGTTTACCCAGCATTCTGGGAGGCCAAGGCAGGTGGATTGCTTGAGCTCAGGAGTTCAAGACCAGCCTGAGCAAGAGTGAGAGCCTGTCACTAAAAACAGCAGGACGTTGTGGTGGGTGCCTACAATCCCAGCTACTCGGGAGACCAAGGCAAGAGAATTACATGAGCCCAAGAGTTTGAGGTAGCTATGTGACTCTGCTTCAGAAAAAAAAAGTTTACTGTGTCCAACATTCAACTCTGCCAGAAAAGCCCCCATGGGCCTGCTGTGGCAGTCTTGGCCTTGCTGTCACAAAGATACACAGTACCTGAAGGTGGCCCTAGCAAGAGTAAATTCTACATGAAGGGAATTCCATGTAATAGGAAATTTTTTTTTTTTTTGAGACAGAGTCTCAAGCTGTCGCCCTAAGTAGAGTGCCGTGGTGTCATAGCTCTCAGCAACCTCAAACTCCTGGGCTTAAGCAATTCTCTTGTCTTAGCCTTGCAAGCAGTTGGGACCACAAGCACCCACCACAATGCCTGGCCACCTTTCTATTGCAGTTGTCACTGTTGTTCAGCTGGCCCAGGCCAGGTTCAAACCCCTCAGCCTCGGTGCATGTGGCCAGTGCCCTACCCACTGAGTACAGGAATGGCTGTAATAGGAAATTTTTAAAGCAGTAATTTTTAGCATTTAGGGAGATCCCAAGACTCTGTTAAGAGTATTATAGGGGCTCGGCGCCTGTGGCTCAAGTGGCTAAGGCGCCAGCCATGTACACCCAAGGTGGCAGGTTTGAATCCCCAGTTCGGGCCCGCCAAACAACAATGA